TGTGGGGTTGAGGTGAATATTGTATACGTGTGTGGCTATTTAGATACTCATAAAAACAATGAAAGAAATATTCCGATATAAAATTGACATTAAAAATGAAGCAAACTCGGAAATTCTGGGGAAAAAAAGCAAAACAACCACAAATAAATCATGAAGAATCATATGCCTTAAAGGTAATATAAATGTAATACATAGCAAACAAAAAGTTTGACCGGGAACGCTCTTATATAACTGGTCTCGTTCATTCTTTGCACTTGTGGTTTCATAGACGTAAAGACACTAAATACAAAGCAAAAATGTGCGACACAGTAAAACTCCATCATCTAAATGTCCCACGAAACGACCATTTGCTATAATAATATGTTTATGTATTTATAATCATGCATCCTTCCATTCACCGACAGAATGACTTTTTCATCCAGTAAGAAAGATTTTCACCGAACAAAGGCTCATATAGATCTCTAGTTAGAACTTTTTGAATACTCACTCCAATGTGTTCACGTTTCATTAAGGTTTTCGGGTAAAAGTGTCCTTTAGCCCTCCATTCGGAACTTACTTTTTACAAACTACGCATACTTTGGGTCTCCACTCTCTGTGGGACCACCAAGGGAACAGCTGTGAGGTCATGTAAGAAGTACGAGTTCAATCGTAATTAAGAATGATCGGAAAGGAGAAAAAAAGGGGTGGGGGGAGTAGACTTCTACCGGTTTTCGTGTAAAAGATGAGTTCATGAGTAATCAAATGCAACTCACAAACAAACTCCAAAGCTTTTAAATACTTAGGCATGCATCTCTACACAGCCTTTCCTTACCCCCCCCCCGCCCTCTACCCCCCCAAACAACAAACAAACAAACAAAAAAACCCAACATGTCAGTAGACATGCACATGCATGCACAAAATAAGTGGGCCTACACACACAAACACAATTTATGTGGACCAACTACGGGGACAAATAAATGCATACACGCGCACGCAAATATGTAAATAGAAGGGAAAAAAATTACTCACGTATGCAACCAAACATAGGCCTACACACACACACACA